AGTGGACAACGCTCCTTGTAGTATCGGATAGCCTAAATGGGCCAAAGCGTCCATAACTTTCGTGTTGACGTCACTCTTGGGGCTGGAGACAAAATAGTAAGAAATATGTGCTGAGAAATCTACAGAAAAACCTATGCACATGATCAGGTTGATCATGGAAATGGAGTCCAGGTTTACGCCCCACAGTGCCATGAACCCTGTCACACCAACGATGACTGAACAAATTGCAAAAGCCACCCACACTGAACAAAGAGGACTGGGTATCAGGATGAGAGAGATGACTAGCATCACAGTCGCAGCCACCAGGATGGTCTGAATGGTGTTGTCCATAATGACAGTATACTGGTCAAAGTAGATGAAAGCAGGGTGGTACACCAGGAGCTCTACTGGACATTTCTCTGCTGTTCTCCTGAGTACAGTCATCATGTCCTTCGCTGTGGTTTTATTGAGTGTCTGAATGAAAAAGCGGGAGGCCTGAATCTCATTGTCTGCAGTCAAGTTGATGTCTTGAGTGAACATGGAGTTGAGTTCGAAGAAATGGGGCAGATGTGTTTGGAAAGCCTCTTGAGAACTTATATTGAGGTTTGTTGCATTTGCATACCATTGAAAGGCAAGAAACCAAGCAAAAGTGCCATTGACAAAGTTCAGACTTTCAAAATTTGAAATGCATGAGTTCAGATACCTTTGTTGATCTTCATCCCAGTATGGGAATGGCTGCTCCACTGCTACCATCACATTACAGCTATATTCAGAGAAGTGTTGCCTTTGATTATTGTAGTAATTGATGATGTAGGAGTCATCCAAAGCCAGATTCCTGATGTCGAGTCCCTCCTTTAAGATAAAACAGCCATAGATACTAACTGCCAGATAGCCAGCATAAATGAGAAATACACATGCTTTAATCAATTTGTGGGTTAGAAACGGGCCATAGAACCGCTCAAAAATGTGAGTCATGGGCCCTGTTTCCTCCTTTTCAGTGATTCGATCGTAGCTCCCCCCAACACAGCAGATACTGAAGGCTTTGGAGCTCTTGGATGGTAAGTCTTCTGGGACAATGGCACAGGTGAACCAGTGCTTGTTCTCTGCTTCCCTCTGTCCATTCAGAGCCATGCACGCCCCCAGGAAAGTGACGCTGTACAAATAGCAGAAACAAATAGAAATTCCAGCATACAGGCAGAAGGACTGGACTGAGCTGAAAGGCGAGTTGTAGCCCAAGAAGATAGCCAGAGCATTGGTCACTGTGGTGATGGAGATGGAGACTGCTGCTTCCTTATAGGTGTCAGCCAGCCGGTCAGGGACGCTGTCCAGAACACAGGTCCTCTGCCAGCAAGAGATCATGATGAACATATCATCCAGACCAATACCTTTAGATTAAAAGTCAGAGAAGAAAGATTTTAGAAAGTGGCAAATGTGACTTATGGTGGATCCATATCTTGTGACTTTGTCTTTTTTGAGCTGCCTGTGTTAGGTAAACTTTATCACTGTCTTTGAACATTTTAGCTCTTTCACTTAGACTACTTTGCATTTTGCCGATCACTTTCAAATGTGAGCTATGTTGTCCCTGTAAATTCTACTAATACTACTCTTTCAGACAGCCATTCATTTCCATTCATTTCTGTACAGTATTATTGTCAGTTAGCAGAATTTTGAACTTGATTTGTGCCATCCCTCAATATGCACATAATGTCTGCATTACCTTTGGTCTTTACGGGCCCAAATTTTAATTGTAATGTATTTTATCAGAGATCATCAACATTGTGTATCAAGATTGTGAAACATGGACATGTTTTATGACCCCTACATCTGTTACAAAAAATACTAAGACTAAAAATTATTAAATGGCATAGCAACTTATTGGTGCTGGAAACGTAATTTTTATTAAAACTGTGCAATGAATGCCATGTCGTAACAATGCATGTTTTACTTTTTAAGTTAGCAAGTATAGGCTGTTATTTTAAGTACTCTCTACGTTTGATTCAACCTTGGACAGTGGGACATCATGGACCAGAACTTACCTAATATCATGAAAGGACAGGAGGCAGCTGTCATGGCAAAAGGTTGATCCAGCAACAACAGCGCACCAAAAGCGCTCAGGACTGCTAGACCCATGGAGAGCACCCCACAGGATGCCACCCACACCTTCGTCCTCACATTATCCAACCTAAAGAAAATCAAAAAATCAAATCAAAATCAAAAAGATCAGAAAGAGCCACACAGCCACAATTCATCATAAAATGTTCAGCAGATGTTTTACTAACCTCCAACATGATATTATTGAAAATATGATTGCAATGGCATAGGTGATGGAGAATAAATAGATGACAGAAGCTGGAGATTTCTTAAATTCCCACTGCATTGACATGGAGGTGGAGTACGACACCTAGAAAGATTATATAGGAGTTTAACAGAAGCCAATTAATGACACAAAAAGCTGATCATTTAAAATGTCTGAATGTGGGAAAGTTCTGCTTACCTGAATGGAAGTTGATGATGTGTTTGAGACCAAATTAATGAAGCTTTCCAACCAAATGTCAGTTTTTGTTTTGTTGTCCTCACGTAAATAGTAATGTAGCTGTATGGCTTTAGCACTTTCAACAACTGAGCTCTCCTTGTGCAATGTTACACTCCCCAGACTTAAATACAAAGAAAAGCTCCTGAAATCAGAGTAATGCCATGGAAATGTCAAATTGACTGTGTCTATATTAGTTGCATTGTATTCAATAATATCCAAAATGTCATTAGAGGTGCAAGATCCCGTCACCTCAGCACAAACATCCGCATACTCAAATGACTGGTTGTCAAACTGCACTACCATACTCCTGACTTTAAAGTCCAATTCCAAGATGTCATGAAGTGACACCACAGTCAGAATATTCCTGTCACTTGTAGCTATGAGAGTTGCATAATTCCCGTCTGTGCTCAGTCTTACGTGTGAAAACATGGAATCATTTCCCGGGAAAGTTTCTTGGATGTATTTCCTCTCCATTTTTGCTTGTCCGTCAACAGGTGTGAACTGTTCTTCGATGTTGTTTGACATTCTGTCCTTGAGAAGATAAAATCCGCTCCCCAGACTAGTTGAGAGAATGAGGGGGACGATCAAGAACCACCAGGGATGAGATCCAATAAAATGACCCATCACCTCAAAACAGATGCGTAGGGGTCTCTCTAAGCAATCTGTCCGCAATCTGGCCATAGCTATAAAAACGTGCTCCCTTAAAACCTGGATTTCTGTTTGGTATTTAGTACAAAAACTACTTTAGGGAATGTTAAAGAGCTGCTTCTTTTCTCAGAGATGTCAGACCAACATTAGAAAGAGCTGTGAGTATTTACAACCAGCTTTATTTATTGTGCTGGACTCTATTCAGCTCCTTCATGAGATGGGATTTGCATAATAACGGAGTTGGCCCTCTCTGTAATTAAAAGAGGCAGATGAGGTTTGAGGAAAAGCTCAGTCAAAGAGCCTATTGAAGAACAGTAGGTGTAGTATGGCTCACTAGTTCCGTTGCAGTTCTTAGTGTCACTGGTTTCCAATAGCTTAGCCCCCAGGTGATTCCTTCTCATGGTTGAGGTAACATTAAAATGTTGGATCTTTGACTGATGAAAGCCATAGAACAAAGAGACCATTCAAAGGTTTTCTACCTGTCAATTGACAATAATTTTCTGTGGTAAATTTCCCTTTAACCCGTCCACTTTTGTTTCAGAGTAAACTAGCCAAAATAATAGGTAATGCAGCTACACTGTAAGACAGATCAAGTTAGTTTAACCTGGATTACCTTTGTTTCAACTCATAAATCAAAGTTCATGAGTTGATTTAACTCAGTGTTCTAGTTGTCTCATCATTGTTTTTAGTTGATTGAACTTTTTAAGAACTTGTTTTCACTTAAAAAACAAACAATAAAGTACTTTTTTTCATTAGAAGAAGAAGAAGAAGAAGATATACTTTATTTTAAATCACAGTTTCAAGTTAAAACAACTTAAGTTAAAAGGATTTAAATTGTATCAGGTACTCCTTCCAATGGTGGCGCTAGTCCTTTCCTGTTTTCCACAGAAGTCTATATTTTAGTTGGAATATATGACTTATCTGCAGTGTATGATTAGTCGATTAGTCCATGCTTCAACTTCGCCATGGTTTAAAGAAGCAGTTTCTCTCAAACTCAAAAGATGCAGCAAGTAGACAATTTTTTCCTCTTGCTCCCATCTTCGCACACTCGCCTTTTTTTTTTACTTACTGATAACTTACCCAAGTTCAATCAACACTATACATATCTGACAAAAGTCTCAAATAGAACAACACATGAATTAATGCAAGTCTAAAAGTCCAATGTTGGGTTATTTTACAAAATCATTCATGACTCAGCACTACAACCTCTTAAATAGTATATAAAAAGAAGTAGAATGGGCTCAAAGTAACAAGAGCTTCCTCTAGCGGTGACTGTTGCATTGATTTGGTCTTTAAGAAATGTAAGATTAGTATTTATTATTGTAATATCCTGCACACGTCTGGCACCTGTCCATAGACTGCAGATGAGAATGAGCTTTTAGCTATGTCTGGTACAATATATATATTGTGCATTGTCCCTGTCAAATAAATAACACACAGACTTTCAAAAACCCATATAGTCTCTCTCTCATCAGAGTTAAAAAGAAGAAAGAAGTTGACATAACTAAATGGGGTTGTAATGACTTACAGTGTATGTTTAAAATATATGTACAAACCATGAAAACAAAACAATTTTTTGGTGTATAAATGTATAATGTATTAAAGTATCGAGAAGTCATTTTACAAATTCACAATGAAACCTGACAAATAAAACACATTTTCTTTCAGTACTGTAGAAGAGTTTTATCACTCGGCACTTTTAGACTCAATACTTTTACCAAATCTTCAATAATACAGTGATAACACACTCATCACATATTCAGTTTTATATTTGTTTTATTTTATGTGTTTCGTTACGTTTTATTAAAACCCCGTGACCCACTGTGACGTCATACGGAAGTTGGGCGGAAGTTGCGTGAACAGCAGGCTGTCATCGGAGCTGCTAGCCGGTTGCTGCCCTAAAAAACAAGTAAAATCTTTTGATAAAAGCGTCGCCAAGTCGAAGTAAAATTAGCTCCCATAGGAATATGGATGAAGACGTGCTGACGACTCTGAAGCTTTTGATAATTGGCGAAAGTGGAGTCGGGAAGTCCAGGTTTGTCTCTGTTTGTAGCAGCTAGTCTGTTGTGAATGTTTATATTACGTAAGTTTATCCCCCACTGCTCAGCAGCTGTTGCTAAAGCTAGCTGATAGTCTTGTCCTTTTCTCTGCCAAGTAATTTCTGTTAACGAGTTGACTATTTGGTGAACAGTAACGTCAATGTCACGTAGGCATCTGTAAAACTTTTTACTGGTATTTTGTTTGCTGTTTCAGTCAATTGCCAACATAAAAAACTGTGTAACTTAGTTGTTGTTGAAGCTTTTGGCCAACTCACAAAAGCTTATTGTATGTTTGCCTTGCTTATTTACATGTTATCTTTATTTCCCTAACAGTCTCCTCCTGAGGTTCACTGACGATACTTTTGATCCAGAGCAGTCAGCGACAATAGGTTTTTACACACAGAGACACACAATAACACACATACGCAAACCTATGGACACTATTGATCATTTAAGATTGATCCATTAAAGCTCTCTCTCTCTCTCTCTCTCTCTCTCTCTCTCTCTCTCTCTCTCTCTCTCTCTCATATGACTGATCAGGTGTGGATTTCAAAGTAAAGACACTGGCAATAGATGGGAACAAAGCAAAGCTCGCCATATGGGTAAGACTGAAGTCAGCAAGTCATTGTTTGCGTGTATTGATCAGTTTAGCTGTGAAAAACATGATGAACGACAGGGTTTCTCCGCAAGATGGCGACATTGCACAGCCAGAATCCCAGAAAGAAAGTGGAAAACAGATTAAAGATACTTGTGGCGCAGTCCCAATGTTCAATGTAAATACGTCATACACAGCAAGGCCAAAACCTGAGCCCTCATCACTGGACTCTTATAGACTTTATTATTTGTCTGCTTAGCAAAAGAGTGTTTGTGCAGGAGGATGCCAGGGCTCAATATATTTCATGAGGAAGATAAGCACTTTGTGGTTAAACATAACTGAGTGATCCTTGTTCTAAAATACAATTATTGCATTTATAGTATAATGTTCTGTCTAATTTGATGATAGCAAATCAGGAATATTATATTTTCTTAGAAAATACTACACAACTACATGTATGTTTGATTTAGCTTGTTTTTGTTCCCTGGTCATCCCTGTTTTTAACATTAGAGCAATATGAAGTGTGGATTATTTCTTAAGGATGCAAATACTTACAAAAAGAAATATGTAAGTCCTCAGGCAGTGGCAAATTTCACATTGCAGTCCTGAGACGTGGGACACTCATTACAAAGTCAGAGTCTGAGTGTGGACTCTGGGACATGGCTAATATTCCTGTTGTTATTAAAAGTTTGGAATCATGGAGTATTTTGCTGCTGTTGATCTTAAGAGTCTTTACTTGTGCAGGACACAGCTGGACAGGAAAGGTTCCGCACCCTGACCCCCAGCTACTACCGCGGCGCACAAGGAGTCATACTTGGTAAATGGTGATGCTTACAAAGCTGCATAACACATTCAGTAAAAGACCTAGAGACAACTATCTCTGTGCAGTAAAAGAATCATATCCACTCTCTTCCTTCCAGCGTCACATACATGCTGTTTGTCCCTTCTTGTGTATATGTTTGCTTGTAATTTTTATGAACAAGACATTGAAATGAGTTCTACTGTGGGAGTCAATGGAAGTCACTTTGGATGAAGCATCAGCTAAATGCTTATACTGGAAATCAACAGCCATCAGAAAACTCCAGAGTCCTCTTAGAGTTCTTATAAATAAAGGGAAGATGATATTATGCTTACATGAAGTGTACCCTCTAACTCCTTTCTCTGTTTGCGTGGCTTTGACAGTGTATGACGTCACAAAGCGCGACACTTTTACGAAGCTGGGAAACTGGCTGAATGAACTGGAGACCTACACAACACGCAATGACATTGTAAAAATGCTTGTTGGGAACAAAATTGATAGGGTGAGTCTGTAGCTTGTGTTGGTTTGACACATTTAATACAAATTTAAACAGTTAGTTGTCACTGTCCCATCAGCTCATCTACAGATCTTGTATTTCTAGTGATTGATGCTCAGGATATTCAGTGTAAAGGCTCAAAAATGGCCTTAATATGAACCTTGGCTTTATACATTATTAAAATAAAAAATTCATACAACATCAGAATACTACTGTTTTTATAAATGTGCTCACCAGCCATTAGTATTGCCACATGATGTTTAAACACTTAATCCTTTTACCATGTGTCTTCCACATGAAGAAAATAACATGTCTGTTTGGTTTTCAGGACGACCATGAAGTAGACAGAAATGAGGGGCTGAAATTTGCTAGGAAACACTCCATGCTTTTTATTGGTAAGTGTCCATGTTAGAGTAAAATCAGACATAGTCAGACATGGTCATTTAAACTAATAGAGCCATAAAATGGAACCTAACTGTATTTAAAGTCAGAACTGTAATTGCGTATTTGGGAAAGACATCACTTAGTAAGTGATGCATTTAGTTTGGGTTTGTTGCGTTGTTTATATTGCTTAGGCATGTTTGAGTACATACTGTCAGCGCTGCGCTGTACGAAGCGACCGCTCCAGAAGAACTGCATTATGATTAAAATCTAGCGGGCTTTCATTTATCGGATCCATGTCTACACGTGTTTCTGATTCTGATCTCCAATCTGCCCCTCTCTGGGAAATTAGGTTAACATTTCTGTGGAGTTTCCATTTTAGAACGGCTAAATTAAGGGGTTTTGAAAAGGGTTGGGCAAGAAGATGTCATGGATTTAATCCGCTGTGAGGATATCTTCATCCCATTGGATGTCCCCTGCTTTTTAAATGAAGTAATTTTATTCTTTATATGTTAAGATTGTCAACACATGGATATTTTTAAAGAGCTATATCATTAGTTTAACTATATTATAAAAAGAAAGATGTTTTGCTTTGTTTTGGATTTAAAAGCTGACATGTTGTTTATATTTGTTTTGTTTATTTTGGTAACATTTTGGAAAGTGCCCTACCAGTTTATTTACTGGTCTCATAAATCTTGGTAACCCTCTTTCCTTTGTACAGAGGCCAGTGCAAAGACCAAAGATGGAGTCCAGTGTGCCTTTGAGGAGCTTGTGGAGAAGATCCTCCAGACCCCAGGACTTTGGGAGAGTGAATACCAGGGTCAGAAGATCAGTCTGGGGGACCAGGAGCACAGCAGAGGCCGAGCATGTGGCGGATACTGTTCCATACCCTGAAACTGACCAAAACGAACCACTATGAAGGAATGACTACAGACCAGAAACAGAGAGGAAAGGGGAGAAGGAGAGGGAGGAGGAGAGGTAGAACTGGATGAGTACTTTTTTTTTTCCTTTTTTTTTTTAAAAAAGGTTGATTGTTGGAGTAGTTCTGTCGGTCAAAAGGACTTTGCTGTTTGCACACTTCCTTTTCAACCATCATCTGTCACATGTCACTACTTTCTGTTTAAAACATGAATGAAAGGATCATGCAAAAATAGTCTCTTGTCTAAGGAAATATAGTGTTTTAAATTGATATAACCATGCCAAGTCCTCGTCATAAGAGTAAATGTCTGGTTTGAATTTATCTCATTGGCAACAGTGATTCTTTTGTATATTAAGGCATCGGGTTAATAGCGCAGTTCCTATAACATGAACCAATTTGTAGGTTACATCACATAGCTTGTCAAATTTTACTCAAAATGAGTCATTATAATCAATACAGAAGTCTCCTCCACTCTTCATTTCCTGGAAAAAGCGAGTTCCCTACTTGTACTTTGTGAGCTGTAATGAAAACTTATATGTAGCTGCAGCGTTAAAGTACAAATGTTCTACAAGACGCATATGTGCGAGCTTTTATATATATATATATATATATATATATAATAAATAAATAAATAATCTAGTGGAGGAGGTGGTGGTGGAAGAGAGTCACCATGTGGATTTGTGTGTGTGTGTGTTGGGCTTGTGTGCTTAACATGTGTCATTTTGCACCAAAACACTGTGAGTGCCCCCAAATGAGACATTTCAAAATCCAGTTATTATACGTTTAATATCCATCAAATTGTATCTATGTATATGGGCTTTCAAATGAACTGGTTTCCTGTTTTTTTTTTTTTACCCCCCTCTTTACATGGAAAGATCCGAGACAATTAATGTTGTTTGTCTTTTTAGGATTTTTCTACAACCAAACCTGTCTTTTTATGTGCATGTCTGACCTGGACCACAACTTCCACAGCTACAAGTATAAGGTTTACAGTATTAAGAGCTGCAATAAAATGTGCTCTTTTACTTATTTGAGTTCTCTTTCTTTTTGCCTATCTGCTCCGGTAAAATGGCATTTAGTCTCAGCTTGACCCTTTAAGGCTCCCCATGTATTTTGCAGTTTCTGTGTGGTATTGGGGTCTATAGGCATTTCTCACACATGAGTATTCCTGAGAGCCTTGTTCCTTATTTTCAGTATAGTGTGGATTTTATGTATTGTTGCTATTTGTTTAAATTCTTTCTTGTTTAAAATCATGTTGACCCTTTCCCCCTTTGTCCCTGAACTTTTTCCTGTTGCTTTTGCTTCGCACCTATTTGAATCATATTTATCAATATGTTATATCTGCCTTAACATTGAATGATATGCGATAGAGTTATGGTGCAATAACGTTTGTATTGTTTCAAACTGAAATAAATTACAACCTCAAGATGCCGTCACTCAAAATGCATTATTGTTTAAATAGCATTTGAGAACTGCCATTTAGTTTCCATGTTGTGTAGAAGTCCACCTAATCAAAAGCAGGTTTACTGTGGAAATCTGAGTGAATTGCTCTTTCCGTAATACTTTGTTGATGACTAGCCTGCCATACATGCAAGACAGAAAACATTCTTTGCACAAAATGTTAAAAAACAGACCAACACTGGGACACGAGTGGAAAAATCCTGTTAATCATGTTTTATAAAATAGCCCCAGTGTGATTATTAGCTTATGTTTGGTGTCAGAATGTCCCCAGATGGAACAGGACGCTCGCCACAAGTCTCTCCTCAGAGGCAGAGTACCAGACATTCCCCAGAGGCTAATTGTGTTGTCTATACCTCCAATAACTTACAGTGTTGGCAGTTGACCCCATAGTGAGGTCAGGAAATTCTTGAGATCTCAACGTTGGCATTTATGTTGTGTTTAAACATCAAAAACGGTCTGTGTGTGTGTGTGTCCACCTATCTTAAATATGTTTGCTGTATAAGAAAATACAGAAAAACAAAACTTTGTTCCTTGGACAGTCATCACATTGTACTTGGGGCAGCGAAAAACAAGCTGTAAACCACTGATATCACCTTTTTTGTCAATACAGGAACTTGTTTCATTCATATGTTCCCAGGGTCCTATGTACCCCAATTCTAGGGCTAGGGAACTTAACATCTGCGAACATAGAAACGCTTCCTTTCTTAGTTAGCAACAGCCTATTTACACATACAGCCACATGCAGCAACCCTAGCAGTCATTTGGAGTTGTATTTATGGTGATTGACCAATATACTTGCAATATTTACCCTCCTTTTAACTCTAACTGTTCTATCAAGTAACCTAACTTCTGAGGGAAACTATCCAACTCATTAGTTAGCTTCTAAATGCTCTGTGTTCACTAGTTGCTAACATTTCCTCTCGATTGTTCAGTGCTGAAAAGTTAGCCTCTGTGTTTAGAGCTTTTTCTGTGAAAACAGAAAACTTTAGCTCAGAAAACCGCAACATGTCACCTGTATGTGACATTAACCACAGTACTCTGCTTGAAGAACTGTCTCACTGCTCTGTTCAGTAGGCCACCCTTCTGTTCATATCACAACCTTTTAAAAAGCAATTTGAAAGGATATAATAAAACTGCAAGACTCACAATTGCACACATGAAAACTACCACTAAATACAGTTCAGTAAATCATAACTATACAGCTTCAGCCACGGCAAAGCACTGATTTAAAGCAAATGACTGGTCAAAAGATTTCACATTGGGTTTATTCAAATAGCTGCTGTCAAACTTTAGCATTGGACAATAATCCAGTCTCATGGAAGTTAATATAACTTACTGCAACAGACGGCAATGGGAAGACATTTGGAACATGGCAAAAAAAACAGTAGAACATGTACAATTGTGTTAGGTCAGTTTTTCCATTTTACAATGTAAAAATGATTGAAAATGTCAAAGTTGATCAGAATTACAAAATTACAGAGGCTGTACATATATTGCAAAGCATCTGGTATTCCTATGTGGAACGACAGACCAGATGCTCAAATGAAATGCCTACACACTGTGTGCCAGGGCCACGTTAACAGTCTGGACCTCAGAGATATGAGAGGACTTCTGGATGATGCGGCTGGTGAGCGTGGGCCCCACGGTGCAGCTCTGTCTCAGAGCAGAGGTGGGTCCTGTGACAGACATCCTGTCTATGATAGAGGTCCTCGTAACTGAGAATGGCTCCCGAGTGCAGAACTGCCCTGTGCCAACGCTGGGCATGGTTACGTCGCTCTGGTCTGCTGTGCAGCTCTGCCCCTGAGCCAAATTGGTCAGAGCCACGGCAGCGTGGATCTCCCTCCAGCCTTGATTGACTCGTCTCTGCTGGCGTCTGTCCTGCTCCTGGTCCCTGTGAATATATTAAAGAAAAACTGCTGTATATTAAGTGGTTAATTAAACATCATCTGACTTGTTGCATATTAAATTAACCTGGAACGAATCGGCAGAGGAGCAGTTTTAGAAATGCAAAGCATTATAATGCATTTGACATAAGGCCAGAACTAGAGGTAGTGGTTCAAATTTAAGAACAACTTCCAAGAGGGATTATATATAGTATTACTTTTCAAGCTGATGACAGTTGAAAAGTGCAAAGAGCTGATTTGATTTCAGACTAAGTGATGAATCATTACACTTACCTATCACATTTAGTTGAAGTATAGTCCATTGCCTCTGCAAGAGAGAAGAAAAAGACTCACCTAAATATGCCATGAATCACTTTACTTGATAGCAGTGAAACTGCAAACTTTTCACAGGACAATCAGGCTTTATGTCACAATGTTGATTCATATTGTATTATACATCCACAGCATAAATGTATGTATGAGACTTTTTCATTTGCATTAGTATGTGATTATTTATGTGTGTATTCATTGGTGTTGTGTTTAGTGCTTGTGCATGTGAAAGTGCTCCCACATGCAAGTGTGTGCATCTCAGAATATTGGTACAGTTAGTACTTGTCCAGTGTTTCTCTCTGGAAGTCTTTTACGATGCCAGAAAGGTTTGACTCAATGAAGTGCACCAGTCTGCCTGCCTGTGGCTACTACTCTGGCCAACACAAATGCAATGCAGACTTTCTCTTGAGCTTTTGAGGGGGGAAAAAATCTGATATCTGCATCGTGTCATGAGGAGTGACACGGTGTTTGCTGGTTTTCAAAGCTCTGCTAGCACCTGTAAAGTGTGTTCCTTTCCCAAAAGCTGTTACTGCACATCTCTTTTTGTGACCAAGGCCTGACCTAACGTAATATAATGTCACCTACGGGCAGCGGAGTGACTAATAAATGAATACCTGAGAACCTCGCTACATCTGTGAAAGAAGGAAGGGTCTTTCTTTCAGTCTTGAAATAAACTACAGTTATGTCTGGCTATTTCAGATGCAGAACAAATAGGACTTCAGAGAAATATTATATTGCTTGTACAATTTCTGTTAGTGGTCTGTGCATAAGCGGGCATTATATGTATGAGCATATTTTCCATTTCAGTTTTGGAATATTGCCTTTTTTCATCGGAGCAGATAAAAGCTGGTCAAAAGCGATCTTTCTTCAGAGAGCAATAGACAGGGAAATTAGAGGCCCACTCTGAAACACAGTCTTTCAATTTTAACAGCCCGAAACATCCCCATCTCTGATTTCTTTAGCCAGGCCGGAGCCAAGAGCAACTACTTATTGATAGTAAATCATTTTACTGTTTTATACTTTTTGCTACTGAACGTCCCCGAGCATTTCTCTCTTTAACATGTTTGCCAAGGAAGTATTTCAATACCTTTGTTGTATTTATACCAAGAAAAAACATTGTTTTACCTCTGGTGAGTCTCAAATTTACAGCAGGGATCAGTTACAACAAAATTTTACAAAGTTAATGAAGCTGCTGAATGTGTTTTGTCTTTTTTTTTATTTTACATTGTGCTACAGTGGTGCAGTATAGTTATAATTTCATGTTAGGGCTTACATCTAATTTATTTTAAAAAAGGAAATAGTTTGACATTTTGGGAAGTACTCTTATCTACTTTCTTTCCAAGAGTTAGATGAGAAAATCACTGCCATATTAACACGCTAAATATGAAGCTACAGCAAGCAACCAGTTAGCATAAACACTGAAAACGGGGAAACAGCTAGCTGTTTGGAAGTAACACAATTTGCCTACCAGCACTTCTAAAGCTCACTTATTGACACACTATTTCTCATTTTGTACAAAAACTGAAGTGTAAAAACAAGTCAACACAGTCTAGCACATAATCCCCTATAAAATTGCAGCTTTACATTTTGACACTGATCAGATTTAACAAATTACATTTAGACATTTAGAACATTTAAAACATTTAGAGTAAGGTTTAGAGGTGCTGGTAGATGGACATGTTTACATTTGCACTGAGCCAGGCTAGCTGTCTATCTGTTTCTAGTCTTTATGTTAAGCTAAGTTCACAACTCCTTGCTCCATGAGCTGATTTAGGTTAGGTGTTCTCCCACAAAATCAGTTTAAATCCCTTCATGACCTAAAGTCTGTGACCTTCAGTCATCTCACAGGTGTGTCTTTGGGATGCCCACTGGAAAACAACGGTGTATTGAGAAAACATTGTAAAACCTCATATCCTCGTTGCGGATATGTATTTGCTCCCCTCTCAGCATGCATGTTTTCATTTGAAACTAAATGGGTGGAAAACGCAGCAAGGTTTGTCCAGATATGTTTTGTGCTGCTCTGCGTCCAATAAAACATGATTCTGGTCACATTTATGGGTCTCCAGTCTTTTTAAGGAAAATACTGAAGTTGATGTGAGTACCATATCATATGGTGTAAACACCCTCACATCCTGCTAACATACAGTGTACTGTTCCATTAGGCTAAGTGTTCATTTAAAGTGTCCTTTAGTGTAAGACACTGTGTTGTGGGATCACTTATTAGTCCATCACTTGAGGTTTAGTGTTTTAGCCGTCTCTCGGGCGGAGTATAATCGTGTTAATGGTGTTAGTGCCTGTCATGAATCTGGCAGCTTGACTTTCCAGCGTAGGGTTGCTAACACACTTAATATGACCAGCAGGGATACATTAAAAGTTGGCACAAACATGTGTGCTGCCCACATAGTGTGTGATGACATCAAAATACTCCAAAAGAAACATGATTCGAAGAAAGAGACTAATAAATTTTTCAAGGAATAGTGTAACATTTTGAGAAATACGCTTATTTGCTTCAGCCAACTGCAGCAAGCAGATGGTTAGCTTAGCTTAGCATAAAAACAGAAAACGGGGAAACAGCTCCGTCAAAGGTAAAAACAATTAGCTTACCAGACAAGCCACCTCTAAAGCTGACTAATTACCATGTTATATCTCATTTGTTTTATCTATACAAAATGGTAAGACAGAAGTTACTAGCGCCCAGCTAACAAATAGCCCGGCACATAACCCTGCAATTTGTCATTTTTTCACTAAACACAAGCAATATAAAGTGTTAATTTGTGAACTTTAGCTGTGCTGGTAGGTGGATTTTAAAACCTTTGGACAGAGCCATGCTAGCATGTTAGCAGGCTGAATGCTAAGCTAAGTTAACCGTCTGCTGGCTAGATTTAGAGTAGGCCTGCTAATCTTCTCATTTCACTCTTGGCAAAAAAGTGAATAAGCTTGTTTCCCAAAATGTTGAGCTTTTCCACTAAAATGAATGAGGTAAATGAGGATCTTTGTAAGTACATCGTTTAATTCATATAGGCCTAAAAGCCAATTAAACTGTAAAATAATACCATATTTGTTTGATAATTTGAACAAGACAGTAAAGTTTATATGACATACCATTTCAGTGGTTCACTATTATTTTAAATAAATAGTACAAGCTTGTTAAAATGAAAAATTATCCTAATTATTCAAGTTACTAAACTGTAGGCCAATTTGAAGTTAAACTGAGTTTCCTGGAGATTAAGCCTTGTCATAGACAAGTATATAAAAATATCCATTAACTCACCTTTAGACTGAGACCAGGATTTACTGTTTGCCAGGAAAGTGATTCAAAAATAATATAAAAGGGAACTTAAAGCATGCCTTGTTTAGTTTTAGAGTAAAACTCCCGAAATATAGTAAAGAGTAGAATTGGTTTCAAAAATCTTTTCACAACTCTTATGATATAATGTAAACTTTGATTGATTTTGAGCAGGGAAGTAACACTTGGGAGGAGCAGCCTGCCAAAGCACACATGAGTTAAGGAAGCAAAGCTTCACCCACAAACACTGATAGGAAAAGCCAAATGGGTATTAGTGATCTCACTCTGCGTTGTCTCACAGCTGAGTGGCAGCTCTGACAGTGGCTCTATGCGATGTCTTCGGTGCTTTACTGACAGACTGCTCCATTTCTACATTTGGCTGAGGTTTCCACTTCTCACCCTGGGAAGAATAAAGTCTCAGACATTCTGTAATTGTCCTTGAGACTGGACTGGACATTTCCACCATGGCAAGAAGCTGAAGCGGAACAAATGGCACATTCTAGTATATGGAAATGATATTTGCGGTGTGCAGCGGCAGCCAGCGTGAGCTCCATCCAATTTTAAAATGAGGGAGTTCAGCATCTGCATGAGTCTTTATTAGTAATGTTTGTAAAGGCTTTGGCTCCTGTACCTTAGCGGATTTGAGGGTTGTCAGTGTGCTGGGCTCCCTCTAGGTCTGAAAGGGCACCCAGGTGTCAAGCTCACTCCACTTTCCCTGTAACTTTATAACTGAATCTTGCAGAGCTTCTGACTTTCAGTGGAATGCTTGAGATTTATTAATGTCAGGGAGCTCTGAGGAGCCATGTGGAAGTTTCTGTTCGGTCTGTTCTTATTTTACTGTCCACTGTGGTGTGTTAAAAATGAACTGAGGGGAAGCAGGATAGTTAAAGTGTCATTTTACCTCATATTCAACATAAATCTACAATTAACAAGGAAAATGCTTTAATGATTTCTGTGGCCAGGGAGTGCTATCATCACTTTTTCTCCCGGTCTACCCTCTTTTGATTACATATCACGATTTTACACATAATATGAGTGTTTTGCATTACATGTTTCCCTGATTCTATTTACAGATATTGCATGCACATTTGTGTTAAAGCACAAATATCCACTCATACTATAGCTTTAATGTGTGCTATTGTCCTGTGCAGCGGCTCTCACCCATGTGATAGACAAAGTTGGCCTCTGTTTCATAGGACGACGCCGGGGAGACAACATCTCGATCACATTCGTTGGAGCTGAACGACTCGGAGTGGCTCCTCCTCTTGCGGGCCGTGGTGACGCCATCGGCCTTAGCTGCCATCATGTGCCGCAGGGTGTCGTTCAGATACCGATTCAGTAAACTGCTCTTGTACTTAGACGGAGGCGACACGCTGTCGTCACTGTTAGCGGAGTCTGCCATTGCGAGGACGCTACCCTGTTTCTGGAGCACGCTCTTGTGGGAAGATGACCGGCCAAAGTCAGATTGGCTGATAGGAGTTTGTAAGGGACACTCTTCATCTGCAGCCAAGAAAACAAAACCAAATCATGTAATGTATACTATGTTACAAACTATCATAAATAGTGATGTTTCAGTGGGCAAAGTTTTAGATCTAAATCCAGTCTTTGGACTTAATTCCATCTATAAAAAGGAGTAAACTTAAATACTGTAGCCCGTACCATCTGAGTTGGTGTCATCACTGCACACGCTCAGTCTCTCAGCGTTTCCCTGGATGTATTTATTGTACAGTTTGATCCTCAGGGCCCAGCTCAGGTCTGGCTGTCTCACTGTGTTCTTCAGCCTCCGCCGGGCATTTGCAAACCAGTTTGAAACCTGCGCAGACGCACCTTGTTATTGAACAGCACTGGCTTAATTTTAACTCACAAAATTCAGTATCAACACGTCCCTGAAGTCACGTTTCTTTCATTCCACCATCACCGAGCTTCATGCACAGCTCGCCTCTCACCTGCACTAGAGTCATATGTGAGCCCAGAGCCAGCAAGACCTTCTCTGTCTTGGTGGGGTAGGGGTTGTCCCGGTGTTTGTACAGCCAATGTTTCAGTGGTCGAGCCATATCCTGCAGCACCTGTCTCTTGTGGCGAACTTTGACCCCACCCAGACGAGACCTGGAGGAATCAGAAGTTGCCTAATAGATTCACAAAGACCACCTACAATCTCCTCTGTTTAGACTGCAACATTTATACATGAAACAACACTATACAAATTCGAAACCATCTAAATAACTTCCATGTCTGAAAAACAGAAAAGAACTATTCAACTATGTATGTAAAGGCAGAACAAAAACAACATTTTAGCAGGACACAATGTCAAGTTACAGAATTATCATTGACTTAATACTGCTTTTAAATACAGCTGCATTAAGATACATATTACAACCATAATACTGAACATGAGCACCTGTTTAGCTGTTGATCATGCCATCAAAACAATATTTCCAACTCAGACAAAAAGGGCGTACCCATATCTTCTATACTTGACAGTAGAGCTGTCTTCGGTGGTGTCCTGGCATTGCAGCAGGTCTGTGTTCTGCTCGTCTGTTAAACTGCTCTGAGGAAACTCTACACAGTTCGATCTGCTTCTCTCCTCTGCTCTCCTTTTGCTCTCCAAATGAAGCAAAGTATCAGACTTCATCACGTCAACTTTGCTCATTGTTCAACACACAGAGCTTTCCTCAATCAACAGGTGCGTCAGTAGACTTCCAGATGTGAATAGAAGTAGCAGGTTCCCATCCTGGATGCACTTGATATGAAGGTAATTTTTAAAAAAAGGGTTAAAAAGTGTTCCTTGCAATTCTTTCTGTGCTTACGGAAGCAGGGGACTGAGCAGACAGATGATGACAAAAGTCAGTGGATGTTGTCTGGTTTAGTTGAGCTGTGTGAGGAGAGTTCAAATAACCTGCTTCTCTGCCGCCTATTGGCTCTCCCGCCGTCCAATCACTTCTCTGGAGAGCTCTGCGAGGAAAGGCTTTCAGAGAAGCAAGCAGCCTCGGCAGCACATGAAAAATATTTCTCATGTAAGAATATCAGCAAATGCGGTCATTAGATTTACTAGTGAGATTTTTTTTTGTCTGGTGTGACTACAGCCTGTGCTAAGCAGTTCAACATGCTGATGCTCATATTTTCTACATGAGGCATATGAGTATCTTGCGGTTTCACCAAAAATCGTGTCAGCAAATAATACATGTTTCACCAGGGGGATTCTGGAAATTTATGGGTGTAATTACATGGTTGCTAATAACCAGCAAAACCACCAAACTGTGCCTCGTGGTAGGCATCGAGTCCTGCTGAGTTGAAATGTATTTCAGGACAAATTGGCTCATAATGAAGTCAATACAAACCGTGGAAAATGGAATTGATCGTACCTATGTAATCCTCAGCCAGGGTTTCAAATGCAGTCAGAGAGTGTGTTAGCATGTGTATTTGAGTGTCAGGATTGTGCATCTTTTACACTGTATGCAGCGTGAGCATGAATAATCCAACCATAATGCTCATATCTGTAAATGTTTGTCTCAATTTTGGAGCAACAAGGACTGTGAACAATTATAAAAACATGGTCTGAAAGAAGCTTAGCATCGTTAGTAGTGTTACTATATGACAACATGCTGGCACTGGGCCCAGTATTTGAAGACTCTGTGGTTCAACTTGTCATCCACGTATGTTTTTCCTCTTGACATCCAAACACTCTTATGTAAGACTGTTTGGCTATACAGTAATGGCTTTGCCACACACAATCATAACTTAATAATCTTTGAGCAAACATACGTGATAAAATGCATTTTCCTTGTCTACAGTTGTAGGTTATGCCTAAAATCCGAGCAGCACTTGTTCAACCGTTAAACATATTAAAGGACTCCATAACTCTCATCCCTGTTCATAATTCAGCAGCATCAGTGCTGAGGTTGAGTTTCAGTGGTTTCAAAGCTGAAAAACACATGGACCAGAAGCATCTCCGTTAGGTGCAGTAAATTCCTCGCTCACATTCCTCCGCAGTGGTCGGAGAATGCTACATGCTATCACACACCATTTACTCCTGTCCCTCTGTGACATGTTCACCGGCTCAACTGTTGATATTAGCTTGGAGCACACCTACATTCGGCAGCCAGGAGGCCGGTAAAAAACACAGTGGAAGGACATATATCTCTTTTTGTTTGGATAGGTTGGTGTGTGTGTGTGTGTGTGCGCGCCTGTCTTGAAGGTTCACAAACTACAGACCTATCCAAAGGGCCAAATATCTAGCAAAGAGTGTGTTGGAGAAGCTGATTGTGTCCTGAAATATCCTGAAGAAGTAACTTTTGCGAAAAATTTGATCTTCAATTTACTTAACTTTTATTATTTAAATTTAATGGATGATTATGTATAATACTTGTCCAATGCTTTTCATGCTGTGACATGCCAAGACTTTGTAACAGAGGCCACTGTGGCAAAATAATTCCAAAGATTGTCTTGAGTTAGTTGCTTCAAATCTGCACTAATGTATATTTTCATATTAATAATGGATGAAATGACTGTGTAATGCCTAAACCCACAGAGATGATCACACAGCTCTTCCCTCGGCTCTGTATTTTAGCCTCTTTCAGTTCATTGTTTTGGTTTTACTGCCTGCAGCTATATTGTTTTGGTTCATTCCAACTGCTCTCATCAACCTCATTCCTAGCCATAGCTGTTTTTAGCAAAAAGCTCTGATAAACCTACTGTACACTACCCAGCTCCAAACTGACAAAGTTAGCGAGTAGCTGGTGAAAGTAGTTGAACATTTAGCAACTAAAGAATCAGACATTTGCTTCAGGAGTTGGTGAAGACCAAAACAGAGCTAAAAGGGGAGCGAATACTGCACTTACATTTACGCTATTAAAAAAAAGCCTTCTGGTGAGTTCTGATGTGTTCCCTTTGTGTTTTACTTCTGTAATAAAACCAGTGAAATATTTCTCTCTGACTAACATGTAGTTTAACAGTTGAAAGTTAAACTACATGTTAACATGTCACAGCCAGCTGTCTCATGAAGCCAAGGAACTGAAAGTGAAACTGAAAGTTTTCTAACATTAGCTACCACGTTTCTGGTCATACAAGACCAAGTAAGGCTATACCGATGGAACCCTTGAGTGTACTGAATTGAGCAAAGGTGCATTTTATTGTTACAAATTCAACTTTTTATTTATAAGAGGAAGATTGTGTTACAGTATTTCTTCTTTCAAAGTTCCACAGAGTGGCTTTTAATATGTCAATATCAGGAAAGAGGAATCAATTTCCAGTACTCTGTAATAAACTAAAAACCTTTCCCCCTTCCTGCTTTAGGTTTGTATAATTAACTCTCATATTCTTTCAACATGTGCCTTACTGTGTTGGTTGTTTAAAAGTTATGAATAGCTCATGCAAAGATGAAGATAATTGTTTAACATCAGTCGTATTTATTTTTACATACTTCAAATAGATTGAGCCAAATTATGCGAGACCAATTGACATCATACTTCTGTGTAATGTTTGAAGTGGGAGCTGCAGTGAACATAAAACGGTGGGTTTTCATTGGATCACTCCAGTGTCTTAAATGGCATCGTTATGATCTCAGAGGGTGTCTGCAGATTCTCAGTGGTGTGATGAAATTATACTGCCACGCTTTGGCTGAGGTTGGGCTTCAGGCCTAGTGCGACTGTTGTCCTGACAGTCTGGTTTGTACATTTTGGTGACCAGGAGACATGTAGACACGTCAGTGGTTGCATCTCCACTCATCCATTTGCACCGTCTTCTTTGTGTACTCAGTTGTGTTTGACACTGACAATAAGCCTGCCAAAGTAAAAATATAATACCTGAGACAAAATGGCAGCCTAATCCACTATACAGAGCCATATCGTGCTTTTACAGTAGGCTTTTATGTGCGGTCATAACTTTCTCTCTGTACGTCTGCGAAGGCCCAAGTCCCTTGAAAGCCATTACCGTCTCTCCACATCATACAGCTCCCTCTTCCTCTCAAACACGACATGATAGACACATTAACACTCCTTCACACCCAATTGAGCACAGTGTCCAAAAAAGACTAAGGAAACAGCGTGAATGTAAAAGGACTTACATTAAGCAGCTTGTGTCAAGAACGGTAGACTCGTACCCGACAGGAAGATGTGATGCTCAAATATGAGTATTTGTTAATGGAGTGTCACTAATGGTGAGGATCTGCCAATTACTTTTAATTGTCTCAATATGTTTTTGTATTAAAAAAAAAGACCTCTTCACATTTAAAGTTCCATAATGGAGAAAGTTTTCAGTGTAGGGTGCAGACAAATACAAAAATTCAATCCTTACATATTCAACAGCTAATACTAAAATGTCTATTACAATAATTCTAATTGGGTAAAACATCAACTTCTCTAGTACAATTCTGAAACAGAATTATCTATAGTCTAATTGATTGTTATCTTGTTTTGTCCCTATTTTGTACAGCATTTTGTTGGCAAAATGCCCCCCTGCCTGCTACTAATAATATTTCTCTGGTGTACATTACAGTTAATTGAAGTGCAGCAGCTGTCAGAATAATTACATGCTGATGTTTGCGACTTGGCAGGGAAGGATTACACTCAGCCACAAGCTCTGGAGAGGTTCCTTTTTTTCTGCTTCCTCTCCATCCTGTAAGTCAACGTTACTTCAGCCAAATGCCAACAAAAAAACTGGCTCTGACACAGATGGAGGGAGAGAGAGGGGGACAGATTAGATACACACTAAGGGACAGTATGGAAAGCTGTGGTAATCACAGGAATTGTTCACAAATGGAAAAAATATTTAAAATATGACAATAATTTAAACTTTATATTATACATGCAATTAAGAATGGATGTTTCTTTCTTTGTTTCTTTGTGAGTTCAAAGTTCAAATCCAGCTGTCCAAATGACCACAACTTCTCCGTGCTTTTGTTGGTGAGGAGCAGATCCACTCTGCAGGAATCCACTGGACTTCTGCCTCTTCTATCTTCTTGAGGTCGTCCTTCAGCTCTCTGAATGCCACAGCGATGTCTCCATTAACGATCACCTTGTCAAACAAGTGACCGTACTGGCTCTCCATGCTTTCAGCCAAGTTAATCATGTCCTCAAAATCCTCCTCCTGTGACAATAGAACAGGAACAATAGAACACCTGTGTAAATAAAATGTAGGAACAGGATGCTACATTTGGTCTCTGGTAGCTCTATTCAGCTCTTTCCATCGTTTGATTTGTGTGTCCAAGCAAAAGATGAAAAGAATTATAGAAGCAATACAAGAAAAACAGCAGTTGATGATTAATGATGATTTCATTGTTAATCTGACACATTCTGCAGATGGGATGCTAACGGAACAGCTAAAGCCAGGCCATATGGTGACAAAAAACATCCTCCAAGAAGTTTTTACAATAATCTGCATATACTGTAACGTAGCAGGACATGGAACGGATCCCCATGACCATTTAACTATACAGACCAAGGCGTGACCCATCGTTACATGCTGAGAGTAAAGGATAAGAGACCTTTTCACACCAGCTGTAGTATGAGTTGAAAGCATAGCCCTATAAGATATGCCTGAACCACCTAAGGGCTGTGGTGCTTGGCACCGGGAAAACTCCAGCCACGCAGCAACACAGGTGTGTGACCTCGTGGGTTTAATAAGGGCAACATGGGCAGCCAGGGTCAAACTGTGAATGAGAAGCCAGATGGGGATTATGAATGTAATCTTTTTGTCATGTCTAAAAGACATATACCATCAAACATACATGCTCCTGTTTTGAAACAAGTAACCACAAACTCACCAGAAGAACATAAAATATGAATCCCTCCCTCACAGTCATTCTTTCAATCAATCAAAAATACACCCGTCATCTTCTGGACAAAATGTACTCACCTTTACGTTAGTTATGGAACAAGAAGCCACCCACCAAGCAGCCTTGTTACTGCCCTTGTCTCTTAAACGTCTCTTAAACGCAAGCCACAGGGTCAACCATGTGTAAGACATGGTGTGCACATGAGTAAGGGAGTTTAGGTGTGTGATTGTCTGTGGGGTTGGGTGGGTGTATTAAGGCCAGGGCATTTGACCTCACACCGCCCTTCATGTTACAAGACATGGAACAAGCACCTGGCTTCACACATGTACTTGGTGCAATGTGTTTTGTGTGTTTATTATATAGTTTCACTTACTGAAAAGATCTTGACTGAGTTCTTGTTCTCTTCATCGCAGATGAATTTAGCTTTTCGTCTAGTGAGGCGTAGCTCCTCAATATGCGGGGGCTTCACAAACACCACGTAAGGTTTGAACTCAGATGTGTACACATGCTGTATTTTCTATGGTGACGAAGACAAAACAAAAGGAGGTTAGATTAAGGTAGATGTAGGTATTTATAGTACCATAGGTTGGCAAAAGAATGTGCATGAAGACATGCATTAAAAGAAAAACAAAACAAGATTTCAGAACCCACAGAAAATCATAATAGTTCCCTCTTGAGATCCGTACATGTTGCGACTCTAGCATTATTTCAAATTGGACAAAGAGAAAACTTTGAAACTGCTAATTCCTCCCTTTGACCTGGAGAGAATGACGACTGCTATTTGCCTCTTCTGATACACATTGAGTCATCAGGCCCTACTTGTTAGCAAGGACCTTGATTGGCAGGGTGTTACAAATGTGGGGGTCTATGCTATACCTCCTCTGCACAGGCAACCCAACAAATCAGCAGCATGTGATCCCTCACTGGCTTCCCATCATGCAAACACTGCCAATTGTGTTTGATAGAGGGCCTGGCCAAGCGGGCAGCACCACTGCCAGGAACTAAACCCCATAGTGGTGACACACAGGCCCTTGGAAACTTCATTTTTATTATTCAAACACAAACAAGTCATATGATGATTCACTATAAGATTTCACAGTTGAAAAGGCAATCACAATGAACATTTTGTTAGTATGAAGCGCCAGTGTGAATTATTTGGGCTCAAAAACTTCCTTCTCCTTGGACACACATCCAACATCAGCTGGCCATGTAAACATTAATGAAACTATCTTTTTTGGTGGCATGATACTTACAGTAGGGTGCACATCCAAGAGGCACACCTTGCCCTCAGCCATCACTCTGTGCACAGAGTGTAGACTTGTTCCATAGTAGTGTCCACCATATCTCCCATATTCTATAAACCTAGAGGCAGAAAGAAACAGGGACAGATATGGACATGAAAGGGTGGCCATCACTCTCATGAAAAGGGAGAAGAAGAAAGGGTGAACAAAACACAAGACTATTTTTAACACCATGGAAAGGAAACCTCATGAGTGACACCTGTATATACAGCACCTATGATTGAGAATGTCCTCTTCAAACATTTGAAGTGATACAAAATGATAATCCACCCCTTCCTTCTCCTGCCTCCTTTTCTCACGTGTGGTGTCTGAAAGAGAACAGGACGGGAGGCTGAAGAAAGTTCTTAAAAGTGTGTGTACAGGAGGTAAAAGTGACAGTTTAAGGTGTCTGTCTTACACGGTACAGTGACGCCATAGTGGTCAGGGTCAGATATCAGGAGCCTCCTCTTCAGTTCATTAACGCCAACGCCGCTGGGTCCTCGAGACAAAGATCAAAACACTGTGTTCTGTATGTGGGTATTCATTCTCAATGTCACTGAGTACTAATGTTTTCCTCAAGACAAGTCCAACATCAAATAGGCTCAGTCATCTGGTGACACATCTGTCTTTCTCATCAGAGAAAGGGAGTGAGGGAGAGTCAGACAGACAGACAGAGCTCTGATTTCATACTGATTTCAGTCTGATTCTCCAACCAGCCTCACTCTTTTTCTCTGTATGTGTCTCTCTATCAAACATTAAATGCTCCTATGGCCTCTGGAAAATCCATAGCATCACATCTAAATGTGACATCTGCAAAGCCACACAGTATCAGTGTCATTTTAGTGTAGGATGCACAGGATGAAGAACACACACACACGCAGGCACTGTAGCATCTGGGATTTTCTTCTAAAGCAGGTTTGTGCAGCCCCAGATTGCATCAGACTCTAATGGTGCGCTGTCTCAGAGTAGGATTCCTGACATACCTGCCTTTTCCATCACAGCGTTGCATGAGCTCAATACATTACAAAATATCAAGTTTATAGACTCTCCACTCTTACACTGCTGATGTCTTTCCCAGCTGCTCCACAGAACTGGAGAGGAGCATCATCAGGCTCTGTGAATACTTTCTTTTTCTGACCTTTTTTTTTCAATAGATACATAATCTGTAGGGCTTAAAATGGCTGGCAGTCACTTTAACCAACTTTCTTGGGGCATAACGGTCTTTTGTTTCATTCGAAGTGCGTATGCAACGCAAACAAAAAAGGATATATTTTCAACCTGGTCAAATATTATCCAGCTGGTCCTGTTTTAGCCATCCAGGTTTTGGTTTTCCTGACTATAACTCTCATTGCCAATAAGTTATATATTCTTAATGATGACCTCCGGTCAATGAAGAGCCTTCACAGCAGACAGTAAAAAGTAATCCAGAGTCAGAGTAAGCTCCAACTCAATTAAAGAGGTCTAAATCTAAATCCAAGCTGTCTTAACTGTTCTAGTTTGATGATGGAGCACTTGGCTGACATTATGAAGGATCTTATTCACAATCCACTCATCCCTTTCTCTCCATTCAGCTATCATTTATCTCCTCTCGATCTGGTTTTGTTTTTGCACCTCTTCAGTTCACTGTGTTTCTCTACTCTCTGCCCTTCTATTTTCACAATCTTTCCTCTTCTCTTCTTTCTTCAATTCCCTCAGTCACAGATGACCTAAAGTTGTATCGTAAAATGACATTAAAAAGGCCTTCAACTGGGCTCAAGGTAAAATTCCCTTGGGAGAGATATAGCTCAAAAATACATAGAGCAGGCCTGCAGGATTGGCAGTGAAGTGAATCTGGGGTGGGCCACTAGGTAACTTAAGAGAACACAATATATTCTGACTTGGAGTTTTCTGACAGTGTTTACGTGGTTCTGATGGGAAAGGATCGCTCTTGCACTCAAGAGTGGGAACATAAATCTTCATCAATGCATTACATGTTCTTTTGATCAACAACAGCTTCAATAATACTGTCCTTTTAGTGAATGGGATCATGTTATTTAGATTTTTTTTTTATGGACAAAAAAAGGCAGTGGGATAATCTAAAACAGAACACAATTGACCACAATGTGCAATACTGTACATAACACGTTATAAGGTATATAGCAATGTTATACACTTACTCACATACTAATTTACAGCATAGGGACCTTTTTAAGCTTTTGGCATTGTGCTTTAAAAAGCAAACTTTCCACACAAGTTGGGAACTTGCCTTTTTCTTTACACAGCCATCTGTTTAGCTCATACGTACCAACCAGAATGACCAGACGGTGTTGCCCCTTGGGTTCTCTGTGGTAGGGGATCACCTCAATGTAGGTATGGGGCCGTATTGAGCCGTGTACCACTGTGCTCCACCTTCTGGACCGAGCAGCTTCTCTGGCCAGACTGCTCTTTCTCCCGAGTCGGAAACTCCTTCTTAAACCAGCTGAAAAATAGAGAGAGGAATCTTAGACCTGAGGTAACTTACTGAAACTCTAGCACGAACACATCCTCATTATGACAGTTCAAAAACCTGCATCAAATGATTGTTTGGCCTTGTTAGAAAACAACCACCACACACCCAGTAGATACAGAGCAGCATTAGCATTCATTTGGAGTCACATTTCTGGCCACCTGGCAATTTTAAGTCCACCAGCTCCTGGAGGAAGTATCTGCCTCTTTAGCTCCTAAATGCTGTGTTCAGCAGAACAGTTGCATGCTGTGGAAGGAACTGAGGTTGATGAGACAGAACCAAAACAGAAAAGTTACGGGCCGTAAAAAACAAAACTGAAGCTGAACTGAGCTGAAAGAGGCTAAAACAGTTCATAGAGCCCAGGAGAACTGCAGAGTCAGGTGATAATTCACTACAGGTTTGTCAGCGATCACATACACAGTACACTAGTCATTTGATCAATAGTGAATATAAAAACACTGATCATGACAGAAGGGAACATTAGGATTGGTAGGCAGGGTAGGAAAGTACAGCCCCATTTAAGAAACCATCGACACTGCCACCCAAACTCTGGTGTCAAGCATTGTACTGAACAGCACAAATCAGGAGACGACAACTCAGTCTGTCACGCGTCGCTTGTAGGCCCTCTGACAGCCACCGTCTGCCATGCGACTGTGGTCAGGCCTGGTTTGGCAGGGTCGCTCTCTTTCATGAAATGTTAACTGCTGCTAAGTGATGGTGCCAGACTTTTTTTGACGTCAGCTGTAATTTCACTTTGTAAGCATATCTGCCCATTTCCTCGCCGGGTTTCATTCTAAGAAACATGGCACTATAAGTACAGATTTCAAACTTTTATTTACATGGGATTTAATGTGATGATTTCATGCAGAAATTTGAAGGGGTAATACATACTGTATAAAGCCAATGTTATACAGCTAAAAATACTTCTTATTTCCTTCAATAATATGAAATAAGGTATAGAGGAAAACATTATGTAATTGTCAGTCTTAAGTAATTCTGGCAGTGATATTCTTATCTGTTGCTGAAAATGCTCTAAGCCGTAAAACCTTAGTTCTTTTTGGAAATGCTTCAAGATATTTCATCTTCACTGGACAGTATGAAGTAAGTGAAGAGAGAGCGATGACATGGAACACATATGAAATGGGGGTGAGCCCTTAATGTCAAGAATATATGATACAATCCACAACATGCAGTTCTCAGTATGAAGCATCAGAGTCCTCTCTAAATACATTGAGACTATTTAAGGCACTTAAGTGGTGCTGAATAGTTCAGTCTTAGCATTTAAAGAAGTAGTTTGACATTTTTTTCCAACTGATATCCAAACACAACCCTCCTACTATGAAACTAATTTACTAGCTAGAGTGAATATCATCCTGGCTACTGTGACCCACAAGCTAACGTTCAAGTGTGACTTTACATGGTGGGCAGGGTTAGTTGGCATCTAGTAAGTAAATTTAAGTTTACACCCAGAGTTCAAGATGAGTCATCAAAAATATGTTTTACAGGAAGATAGATGAAGAATTTTGATATAAATGTATTTGCCGTATAACAAAAGATAACTAAACAATTAACATACGGAGGCAATGTCTTTATATACGAAGCTAGAGCTGGTTATCTTAGCTAAGCAAAGACTGGGAACAAAGGGAAATAGCTTCCACTCTTTATGCCAAGCTAAGCTAGCTAGCTGTTGGCTTTAGCTTCGTATTTAAAAGAGTAGCATCAAGGGTAGTATCAATCTTGTGTCATTCTTAGCAAGAAAGCAAATAAGCATACTTCCCAAAACTATTCCTTTAAATCTATTAAAAAAACTTCCACGGGAGTCAAGTTAGTATAAGCTTTAGGCCTGTTTTTCCTTCTTCACCATGCCTTTACTTGTGTATCTACACATAATACTCCACTATGTCCCTTCTCGTTCAATCACTCTCTCTTCTGATTACTAACAGAGAGTCTGAACCACATCCTCAGGTGGAAGCTGGCCTGAGATAAGATGAAATGCACATTATTAAATGCACATGACTCTAGAACTGATATAATGCAACATCTGTAATTACCTTGCCTTATACAGACGTAAGGAGCCTTTTTACAATCAGCCTATATGAACATCCTGCACTGCTCATATGCACACGCATCATATCCAATCCATGAGATCAAGACAAATGGGATAAATGGGAAGGCTAAAACCACATTTGCTGTTCCAGTCCACTCCCACAAATCTCCAAACCACAAAGCTACATCATCATATAAACTGGTTTGTTCTGAAAATATAGCTTGGGTCTCCTTTTGTTGCTCATTTTTCTCCATCTATTTTTATTACTAAATAAAGAAGTGGAAAGAAACTAAGTGCATTTACTCAAGTACTGTATGTAAGTACAATTTTGAAGTAATTGTACTTTACTTGAGTATTTCCATGCTACTATTATGTTACTTTTTACTTCTACTGTACTGTATTTCAGAGGAAAATATTATACTTTTTTACTTCATTAGATTTATCTGATAACTTTAGGTACTATACTTTACATATTACAAATTATAATACAACATATAATAAAAAAATAAATTATGATGTATTATTGTGTATTATTATAGATTAAGATAAGATATTATTGATCCCCTGGGGGACATTAACCACACTTACCATCTGCAACATTAAAGTACACAATGCATCCAATAATTGTAATTCAGTTACGCTTACCTAATATACATTATTCAGAAAGGGGATCTCAGTCCTTATATCCACCACTGAGCTTCAATATGTGTGAGTTTATTGTCTTGTATCACACTTGTCCCTTGTCCAATATCAGTGGGATTTAAGTGGAACAAGTCAAACTTCTTACCAATGTGGATCCCTGTTATAGCTCCGTAGTCTACATCCTCCATGACTGGAAAAACAGGAAAAGAGAAGAGGAAAGAGTGAGGAAATAGTGGACACAAACCACAAGGGGATGACATGTGTGTTTCTCTGAAATTTCATACTCAAAGTATTAACATATGTTCTGACCCAAATGTCTTAATATTTTGCTTTGGAAAGGTCTAATAATAGTTTTATTTAGAAATGAAATCCACAATTTAGAAATATTAATAACTACCTTACTCTTACAAAGTGACTGTTAGTGAAAAACTAGCACATTGCAGAAGGCCAGATACTTTAAACCTGCTTGGTTACAACAGAGGAACATTTTACAGAATTCCCTTCCATTTTGGAAATATGGTGCAGGGAACATTACATGCTTATTATTTTTGGATAATACATATCTTTAAATCTTCAAAACCCCAAACCAAAACCTATAATATACATGTGTATTATATCATGAAAATTATGCTGGGGGTAAGTTTTCAAAAGCAAATTCAAACAGACAGTACCTTCCCCCTCATCTGTGGAGCATGTGGAGAAAACAAAAGCAGTGATTTCAACAGGAGGGCAGCAGAGCTCACTCATGACCTTGACCGTGATCTTCACATGACCTGTCACCTCTCAGCTTCGCACAAAAGGAGCTCTAATATGTTTATTGGAAAGTGTTAAAAGGTTTTATTCTTTTCAGATGTGGTGATTTTATGGACAAATGTTGGCTCACCTGGTGGTTTGACTCGCTGAGGTTTGAACAGGATTTTAGGTCGCTGTAGTGCAACTCTCCTGTAGAAAGCCGCATAAAACAAGGCTGAATCAAAACATGATTTTGTTAAAAATGTCTTATAGATCTTACATGGCAGTGTTTTCAAGTGAGTGAACATGTTGCTATTGACTAAAAGGGTAAAATGACCACCTCTCATGGAGCTGCTGCGAGGGGATGAGCCCTGCCCTGGTGTTGCAGTCCCCGAGGTGACGGGCCTGCCACCAGGTGTCATCCTCCATGCTGACAATCTGGAGGACGTCGCCCCTTTTAAAGGCTACTGCTGCATCCTTGCATGGAACGGTGGGATCCTTGTTAGGATCATAGTCAAAAAGAGCCCGCAAAAACAACTGAGGAAAGAAAATCATTTAATATTATTGCCTTCAAATAGACAGGTGACAAAGGAAACTACACATCCTATTTAATCTATTTATTCATTATTCTCTTTTCCTAATGCAGCTTTGTGGAGTTCGTATCCTGGCAATGGATGCAAAACATTCTTTGTCTGGTGCTTTTTCACATATGTTGGTGTCATTTTTGAGAAATGACCGTGATCATAGAAAATAATTTGTCTTAATCCTTTACAAATGCTCCCTGCTCTAACAGCTTCCAGCTTGGACATCCACTCTGTATATGTGGTGGTAGTGGCCCAGAATTCTTCTTAACAAAGAGAATTGTGGAACTTGAAATTTTCCACATAAGGCGTATAGATTCATTGTTGATGTAAAATTGAGTTGATGCGATTCGACACATGTGATGTGTGCAAAATGATAAATCAAGTGTTTAAATTATAAAAAGATGTAGATTGTAATGAAGTTAGTGTCTTATCCTTGACTGTCTGATCTGAATTTAGTTCTTGACAATGCGATGCTGTAGTGACTAAAAATATTACCAAACACACAAGATATCACTGATTTAACCTTTTTCACTGCAACCAGGCAGCTTCCCCCATGCATCCAGATTGCATGCTAACATAAAAAACACAGAATGGAATTTGTGTAGTTAATATTTACTGTACCTTCTTTTCATTCGATTCAATTCGATTGGACATTTCTTCCTTGGAGGAAGCAGGAATGATTTTGAATGTAACTTCCCCCTGAGAACGAGCCTGTACAAGAACAGTGACAAGGTTTAGTTTGATATTTTGGGAAATGTTCTTATTTGCTTTTTGGCCATACCACTTTTATGTCTGGGTGGGAAGCTACACGCAGCAGCTGATTAGCTTAGCCTAACATAAAGACTGGAAGCAGGAGGAAATGGCTAGCTTTGTTTGCCCAAAGGTAACAAAATCAACCTACTGGCACCTACAGTATAACTTCAGTAATTAACATGTTCATCTCATTTGTTCAATCTGTATAAAACCTGTGTAAAAAGAAAGTGTAAAACAGACACTTTCTTGGTGGGCTTGAACTAGCTATTTCCCCCGGTTTCTAGTCTACATGCTAGGCTAAGCTAACTGTTTCCTGGCTGTACTTCATATTCCTGGTGATTCCTGGATAAGGCTGGTAATATTCTATTGTTTTCTTACTAAAAAAACAGTATGTGCAGCCAAAACCTGATATATAGTATATGATTCCTCTGTGAACATGACACTGACGTTTAATTTGAATCAGTACAAAACACACTAACCTGCTCCTGTAAATACTCACTAGTTTTTACAAGAGATTAATCCGCCTCAATTTAAAAATAAAGTTAAGAAATTACTGAGATTGAAAAACAAACTATACATGACTCGTTTTTGAAGTGTTACGGTGTCCAGTCAGAACAAATTGGGTTGGAGGTGTCTGTATTGACAGACAGACTGGCGCTTTGTTGGTTTCATTATTTTCATGAGATTTGTTGATAACAAGAAAAAATCTAGAATGATGCCAGCCTTATCCTTTATGTGACAGCATTAAAAAGAAGACAGGAGAAGATGACAGCAAAAGGAGGGAAGGAAAAAGAAACATTAAATGAGGAAACAGTGAAGGAAACAACTTGGCGGGACAGTAGAGGTGAAACTAACCAGAAAAGAAAGGATTTCCTTTGGCTTCCTGTGCTCCAGTGAGACTCCATTCACCTCTTTCAGCTCATCTCCTTCATGGATCAGGCCTTCAAAGTGTTGGAAATATGTGCATATGTAAATTTGTACCACATGCTATTCTCTGTAACATGTAACTTTACTAAGGACTATCATAATGTTAGTACAACAAAATAACCTAATATAAAGGTACAGGAAAGTGTAGAGTGGACACAACTGTAATAACTGAGAGTTTATCAGCTTACCGCTTTTATCAGCTGCACCTCCTCTCATGATCCTCGCCACAACAATAGCCCCACTGGATTTATCCCTCTTAATTGTTGCCCCCTTGAGGATGGTGATTAGTGAATGAAAGGATGGTGGACAAACAGACAAGCAGATGCACAGAGGCAAAGAGGTCAAGTGATGGACAGTGAAAATAACATGTTGATTTTATTACAGTCCAGACAAGCTTCTTATTTAGAGTCACTTAATTCCAGTGAAGGTTTTTTATATCAAGACGTGCCGGCTGCCTTCATGTAACACACAAAACGCTGGAAAAGGTTATCCAAATCAGCATTATTTTCAACAGATGTTACTGATGTGAAGCACATCGCAATGGAAAGAGCATCTTATGTAGCTGACTACAATCAGCTCACGCTCGGGTGTAACCCTGTTGTCTGGAAAACGGGAACATGCTGGATCGATCAAAGAGACCATGTCAGAAAAAGGTCAGTCCCCCTCCAATCTAGTTTTGGGATCAATACAAAAGTATGTTCTTTATTATTGGTTCTAGGCACATTCCCCCTGAAAGCGCAACCACTAACACACACGCATACACACTGTAAAAAAAATGGCCATCATTAGGTAAATTATTCTCATATTTACCCCTAAAATCATGATTTTCTTGAAAAAGATGTCATCATCATCATCATCTCTGCCACAGGGTTTTTATTGTGGCCTCCATTTGTCTTTTAGTTAAAAGGATATCTCAAAATATAGTTAACAGATTTCAATGAAAGTTGGTGGAAAGTAAGGCCACAGGCTAAGAAACAAATGCATAGTTTTTTTTATGTGTATCCAGGAATATTTTTGATTTTCGTGTGTGAGGGTATTTTTGAACATTTTTACTATTTTGTAATGACCTACTGGACCTACTTGAGTGGGAAGAAATCTGGCACATATACCCACAGCTGTCCATCACTGTAAGTATTTTATGGAAATCTGGATCCAGACACAGATCAAAAAATACTTTTTCTATTATTAAAATAACAAATTTAGAGGATTTTGTGGGCCTTGGCGAAGGTATGCACTCTTTGTACTTTGATTAGTTTTTAGTCCACTTTCACTTGATCCAGGAAATTTCCAGAAATAAGTGACAATGGCTTGGAACAAGGTAGAATAAGGCATAAGATCATTCCGGTAGTATCAAGAAAATGAGCTATGATTAAAGACCTTGAAACAAGTTGATTTACATCAGAAACAGAAGAGAAATTATCCCAATCCATTTTAATGCTCAATACGGCTTTAACTGACTAATTTAAGAGACATAGTTTTGTAGCGAATATACTTACACACATACATAAATATGCACACACGTACACACAGATAAACACACACAACAATGCTGAAACTATGGTGTGCGTCACAGCAGATATATGGCAACAAAGATGTGGAAGAATTGACTGTAAATTCCTGATTGAGGAAAGTGAGCAGCAGGCCAGACGCAACGGTGATCCAGACTGCTGCAGGAACCTTTTCCTTCCTGTCATTCCAAGGGCTGAAGTCCTGCTAGAGCTTGGCATACAGGGCTTTAGCACTCATGCCATTTGACAACATGACATAAATTCAGTCCCTTGAATATGTTTATTACTTTGAACTGCCTGTGCATGTCACATATAGTGGCTGGACAAATTACAAATGTTAAGTTGCTCTGTTACATGGTTATCTTAACTTAAATACTTACATTTGTGTTTGTTTTGAGTGCATTACATGGCCAGGTAGACTAAATTAGAAACAGGCTGACATGTAGCAAATTAGACTTGTACTCGTTTTTAGACCCATTTTAAGGATTCTCATGGGTAGAGAGAAAATTTTTTATTATATAGTTAGGGCAAACTAGACTATTTCTGGGTCATTGTGTGTGATAATGGAAGAAAATAACTTTTTTTCAGTGTTTATTACAGTCTTGAAGTTTTTCTGACTGAGAGGTTAGATGAAAAGATTGATACCAGTGTCATCATGTCTGTCCATAAATGTCTAATCTTACCTTAGCATAAAGATAGGAAACAGGTGGAACCCCCCCTTTTTCCAGTCTTCTATTCAAAGCTAAGCTAATTGTCTGCTGCGTGAGAGTGGTGTTGTATGAACCTTCTCATCAACTCTTGGCAAGAAAGCATAGTGTATGGCATGTGTATATCCCAAACTATTAATTTAAGCCAAACATGTTTACTGACCAGGGGCTCTTTGGTTTTGACCAGACTGACAATTTTGACTGAATCCTCGTCCTCCTCCAGTACTTCATCAGGTATTGGCGGCAGTGTAGGCTCGAAGTCTCTCTGAGCGACTGCGTCATGGACAGACAGGAGACTCTGTAAAGGAAACAGAAACATGGTGAAGGTGTTGATCTGCATTCATGTATGTCACTTTGAATTTAGTGTGCTGTGAATAGACGTGGCATTGAGGATAGTATCCTCTAACGCATCTCACTTTAAATGGAAAAAACAGCAGTGATTAGCGCCAGCCGTATACTTAAAGCAAAATGGAAATTGCAGAGTTGGCTGTCAAGCTGCTGTTGAATTCGGCAGAGTGAACAAATGCCAATGTAATCACTGCAAAAGTCTGTTCATTTAATGGCATATATTCTTGATGGAAGCATACTGAAGAACCACTGTCACTGGCTTTACCAATGCAGGTTTAGACCAACATTTGTAGGTTGGTCTTAACTAGTTAGGCTAGAGATGGTTAAATGTAATTGTAAGATTAAAAGGTACTCGATACGCAAAAATGCTGTTGAGTAATTAAAGGTAACTGCTTATTGAATGAGACCGTACAAAAATTCCAACACATTTGGCTGGTCTGTACTCACTACAGTGACTGAATCCAAATACAGCACTTTCTTCTTGGTCACAAACCTTCAATTTTGCCTGTGCCAACATGCCAAATGTGGTTTAGTTTGGAATGTACTGCCAGCCTGTGGGTCACCTGAGAGCAACCCCCCACACTACTAACAGTACATCTGGCTGTAGTCATACTGGCTCAGCTCAAACATCACACATGTCTTAGAAAAAAATCTCCTCTTCCGGTGCAGGGCTATGAATTGATATATGACTCACTATCAATGGCCAGACAGTTCATATAAGTTCATTTTTTGTTAACTTTGGCAGTGTGAGAACTCCAGGTTTGTTTGCAGAAAAACAATATTGTGGATAAATGCTAATCTCTTACTGGGAGCCTGCACAAAGTGAAACTCCCAAAAAGGGGCATTTACTGTAATAAGAAAGAATGAGAAGAGGGGGGAAACATCTGCTCATCAACTTAATTTTAACAATCAGCCAATCCATCTGTCAGTTAGTCTACTTGTTATCCCCATGTCCATCAACAGTTGCTCTGCTCAGAAGCTGCCAACGCGTGAGCAATGTGTCTCTGGCCACTTTCAGAGACAAGTTTTCAAAAAACAAACATTCATTTACAGAATATTATACCCAGAGTCTCTCATAAGTATGTGTGAGCTCCTGCGTTGGGGCCAAGAACAAACAGGTCATTAAAGACTGTTTAAACAAACCTGTTAGTTCTTGGTTGGCTTGAGCTCCTCATTAAGAAAAGCCACTGCAGCTCACTGGAAAACCATACGCTGTGTGGATGTATGTGTGTGTCTGATATATGACTGTCAGCAGATCTGAAATAAGGAAACATGCATTTGAGTAATCTGGGCCTCCACATGAGTGAACACTAATAAACATAACTAGAGAGTAGATTAGCTTCAATGCCAGTGTGGTTAATAGATGTCAGCACCTCTCAGTGGGCAGAATGATGAGGTGAAATCAATTTAAATGAAATTTACAGTTGGATTACTTTGCCACTTTGTGTGACCCATATAAGAGCTGAATGTAACTAAATACTACAAGCCTTTTGATGTGTGTGTAACCTCCAATGTTCAGTCACCTGAATGCCATCAGAATAGCTCAGATGAAGCATGACTGCATGGAAATCAGCTTCTCAGATTACAGTTGTGGTGTTAGCTATGTCAAGAAAACTGACTGAACATGTTACTAAACCATTCATGAGTAGGTTTCTTTTATTGGTAATGATCCACTAGGGCACTGAAGTAGAAGGAAGCAAAACAACATCTTCCGAGTGGATTACATTCTTGCTTCGTAAATGGTCCATGTGAATGGCAATCACAGGATTTGCTTCAGTGATAGAAAACTGCACTCTGGCACAGTTTTGGGCATGTTTATGTGTGTGCATGTGTGTTTCATGTTCTTACATCCCGGTGGGAACTTTTACCTGAATGCACACTAACCCTTGTGGACTCGTGCCAATGCCCACAGGTATAGACTGCGTGTCCATTGTGTGTGTGTGTATGAGTGTGTGTGTGTGTGTGTGCGCGCGCGTGTGTGTTTACAGTAATATTGCAAAGATGAGGAAGTTACTTAAGGAATTTGTTGTGTTGGGAATTACCCATATAACTTTCTTGCCAAGAGGTATGAGAAGAGTGATACCACTCTCATGCCTGTCCTGTATTAAACTAGAGCTAGCAGCAAGTTAGCTTGATTACTGTAGAATAAAAAACGGTAACAGGGACATTAGCCAGCTATTTCCAAAGGTTATAAAATCTCTAATACTAGCAAATTAACATAGGTTTGTTTAATCCATACAAAAACCTATATGTAAAAAAAACAGATTGTGGTTTTTCAGGGAGTAGAGCAGATTTTTTTTTTACCAGACAGAGAAAAGCTAGATCACACATCACCATGAAAAGAAAATACCCTTCACCTTAAAGTAGGGTTTGGAAAAGAGGGCAAGCAGTTCTTTAACTTCATCTCTCCAGCCTTGGTATATCAGCTCCTCCGCCAACTGGAAGCAAAGAATAAGAGGAGGATATGTTTTTTTATAATTAGAGGTATACATTTATATCATGGCCTGAGTGAGGTTTGCTGTAGTCTACACTGTACTAGCCAAGAGAGACAGAGAAATGAGCAGAGACTCAAAAAGGGTTAGTGAAATTCAACTTCAACTGCAGTGACACATCATCAGTACTGTCCTTATTTCTCCACTTTCATATGGCCCCATTCACCTCATTGGTGAATTGGCTTTGCTTTTCTCTTTCTTGACGTTAACTATTTACCCGTGTTCCTGTTTTGGTTTTGTGTCTTTTAGCCACTGTCGGAAAAAAAAGTTCCCGATTGTTCAAGGCTACACAGCAGCTGCGGCGACAGCTAAAACAGAGCAGCCTTGACCGTCAGCAGCAAGTGGAGAGGCGGAGAGTGACTGTGTGCAGTCGCCCGTCTTGTCAAGCATATTACTGTAATGACTTCCACTGCTTCAAGATGTCGAGGCACACTCCAGAGACACAATGCATGAAGGTCATTAGTTTCCACTGTGAGCAAACAGAAGCCTCTCTGAGGGGAAACAGACCCATGGTTTGGCCCCTCCAGTAGGTCCTGATGATTTAAGCCAGGCGGAGAGTGGCTGTCGAACCGAATCTAAAGCAAAAGGAGTGAAGGGAAGGAGATGTAGAGAAAGGAGTAGGAGATGTGTGGGGGAGAAAGAGGTCGATAGACAGTATGGAAACATTGCAGGAATTACAGTGCATAAGTTATAGGGAGAAGATAAAGGAAAAGCAACTTGGGAGAAAGGGGAAAGCATACAAAGAAAGGGGAAGAATAGAGATAATGAAAGGGAAGTGTGGTTTGGGGATGAAAAGATGGAAGCACAGAGTAAGGGAAAAGTGTAAGAAGAACATCCTTGTTCATCACTTTGTCCAGGAACAAGAGGGGGAAAATCAGGAAATTATCAAAATGGTACAAAGACGGTAGCGGGATGAAATGGAAATAACGGAGTGATTGGTTGGCAACAGTACTGGTATATTAAATGTGATGCACATCTGAAAGGAATAGAGACTGGTTGTGCTGTTTTGAGTCACAGCTGTAGTGGGAGTAGTCTCTGTCACTTCATCTTAAATCTGAAATTAATTGTATCCCTCCAACCTGAAACATTAGACTACACACAAAATGATTTAAGCAGCCTTTTCCTTGGCACTGTCCTCGGTGACCTAACTCTTGGCATACGAATACAAAATGATATCTGCTTTTAAGACACAACCCTTCAAGTGGTAATATCCAAGGTGACAGAGTTTTGAGATAACATTTCATAATTCAGCACACATAAGAAGGAATTTACATTCCACTCATGCTACTGTGTGATGGGAAAGTCATCTGCATATCAGAGGAAACAATTTGAGCGAAGAAAAATCTTCCCCGTCGCCCCTGCTGTCAAACTGTCATCCTCGGCAGCGTGTCTGTCTGCAAAAGATGTTTGGATGTAGTCACTTACATCTGTGGCCAGACTCGCCGCGTGCTCTTGGACGGGGATGGGGCTTCGCTTCTCAAAACGCTTCAGACGCTCGTGGATCTGTCAAGTCAGGATAGTATCACAATCAGGTTTTTCTCTGCAGTGAAAAGGCACTTCTACTGCAACTTCTACTGTTAGGATTAATCCAAAATCCTGTCATTACTATTGCCACTACTTCTACTTCTACCACTAATAGCATTTATTTATGATAGTAAAATGTCTATTTTTGAAAGATCTATAGGCTAAAATGCAACCTACATACATTTCAAGATATATTGCAGTAAATGAGTGAAACTGCATTTAATTAACCAGTGGTGGAAAGTAACTAAGTACATTAACTCAACTAAGTACTTTTAAGGTATTTGTACTTGACTTACGAGTTACTAAAGAGATTAATATTATATATAATATACACAAACTGTATCATCACCTAATAAAATATGATGTAGGATACAAAGAGTATACAATACAATAAAGTAGTAGTAAAATTGTGAGCCATTAGAACATGTATGATCTTGCACTGTTACTTTTGATAATTTGTTTGCAAATTATATTAATAATACCGTAATTTTATTTTTTACTTTTACTTTTATTAGAATGCAGGACTTTTACTTGTAATTTAGCATTTTTACACTGGTGTTACTACTAAAAATAGGATCTGATTATTGAATTTACATCTGTATGTTAACACCTCCTAAATGCAGACAAAAATACTACTTAAAAAGTTTTTATTTAATTTAAAAAAAAAAAGAACTTAAATGAGTGGAAGTAAACAAGCAGGAACCCCACATGTGTCTTCACCTTGAAGAGCAGGTGAAGCTTCTTCTCCATCAACATGCTGTGGAGGAACCTGTAGTCCTCCTCTCTGTCTGTATGAGACTCTGTTCCAGACATCACAGATGATAGCAGCCTGCACACGCCTGGAGGAGGAGGAGGAGGAACAGGACACGCCCACACATACAAGTGCACAAATACATCACACACCTGTTATCAATTTACAGAGCTTGTTTTGAAGGATGTGAGGCAAGGTCAAGAACCAAAAGAGAGAGGTCAAAGTTTAAATGAGGGTGTGATGGAAAACCTCCCAGAGGGAATCCTTTAAAAGATTCACTGTTATGAAGATCATTGTTTTGTTTTTTTTTCCATTTGTGCTGGTATTTTATCAGTCAGGGGAGGATAAGGGATGTGAAAAGAAAAAAAACTGTATTAAGCTGAGACACTTTGGACATACCTCTGTGCTCTGTTCGGCTCAGCATACTCCACACTCTGAGAAAAGAAAAGACAACTTATACTGAAATCCTTGATATACTCGGTAATTTGATCCAAATTTCCTTTGTTTCGTTCAGCAAAGAGGTAGAGCGTGAGAACAAGAAGAAGAAATGGTTAGAGAAATGTAGTTTTCACATGGTTCACAACAGATGCTTCTTCTGAGATATTACTGCCCCCTAATGCTGGTATGAGATATTTCCACATTAGGGTAAAATCAGGCAATGTTTTATCAATAGTATTCATAGTTATTTTCCTTCATGACATTAAACTTTACATGTTCCATGTTTGATTGGTCAGTATTACCCAACATTACATCAAACAAAAGAAGAAAACTTCAACTCTACAACAGGATAAACACTGATAGTCCTCTGCTCAAAATTAATGGTTTTTTTTTACCTTCTCTCATATTATGGTTTTTATCAATTGAAGATAATTTAACCATTTAAAAGCAAGACAGGTTCACCTGAAATGCCCTTGTTAGATAATAGAATCACTATAAACAATTATTTTCCAGTATACCTCAATAACCGTGGCTAGAGAAATATAATATCCACACTAACAGGTGTTATAAAAATTATTTAAATGTGTCGATAGCTGATAACAAATGAAAATATAGTGAAAAAATGCCTAATGCAACTAATCTAGGGTGCTGATTAGAAGTGTAACACACGTTAATGTCCAATGATCAAAATGAACAAATTTTAAGTAGCGCAAATCCCAGCTCAGAAATTAAATTCCACTCACCAGACACTGTCCATACCATTAGGGCCAGTTCAGGTAGGCCACATCGCTTAATATCTAAAGAGTAGAAGCTGCTTTGAACATCCACTTGTAGAGAGAGGTCATATAGTGTTTGACAGACCAGATTGTAAAAGCGACTGTCTCTTATTCAGTCAATATATGTCAGGACTGACCTAAATCAAGCCAGCGGGCAATCAATACAGCAATCAAAGAGCATGGGGTTGGTTAGCCCTCACTAGTTCACTTTCACATATGACACTGTATTCACATAGATTTTAATTGAAAACTGAGGTCAGCGGTTGCATCCTGCTTTTCATTAAAAGACCAATTTCATACTTTCTCTCTGGTATTAAAATACATGGGTGTTCAAGGTTATAAAGGAATGCAATTAAAGGGGTGTTAAGGGAAGTGCATCATCCTCAACAATCACAGAAGGCCAGAGAATGGATGATGCATGTCACAATATAAATCAAATTACCCCTATTCATTAGTTTCATCAGGGGTGTGCACCTATACCATGCAATCAGTACTTAGCCAGTACAGGAGCTGTTCAGTATCACCCTGACCTCTAACCTCTCTGTTGGGAAGCTAACTGAGAATTTCCATTTAAGGACCAAGATTAATGTTCTGTGGAATAAACGCAGAAATGATGATTTATCTGTAGCCTAGGGACGGTAGGGACTTATCCCCAGCAATAATGTTGATCAAAACAAGTAAATATAACCACTATTGTCAGTCAGTGTCTCTAATCAATTGGTACACAAACTGTTAACAGCTCTTGTTCTCTTACAAATATTTCAAAGGCGTTTTTTGTTTTGAAAGTTTTGAAAGATTATGTCCTCCCTCTCTTATGCCTCAACAGGGGTTTGGTCCTTTGCTTAGATTTTTCAGATCCCCATGGACTTTATTTCTTAAAATATCTGCCTGGGAGATGTTTTTATTGCCCCCCACCAACAGTGATATGAAATATCCTCCCTTTCTCTACGTTTTGTAGTGCCTCATTATCCAGTCACCACATAGTCCCCAGGAGAAAAGGGCAGTAAGGTTAGAGGTACTATTCATTGAGTGCAAAGTGTTTTTTGCACAGTAAAAAGACAACAGACCAGACTAGCGGACAAACCGTGGGTGTGTCCCAGAAAATGGCCAGCCAACGAGATGTGAACTCGGAGGAGGAGTCCACAGCACCAACTAGCTGGTTTTCAGCTGCGTCACGTTATCCAGAGACAGCTAGGCTAATACCGGAAACGAAGCTACTACCTTCAAAATAACAGCGCAAACTTTAAACCCCCACAGTCAGTACAAGCTCACATTTGTCGTTATAACTATATATTAGTGCAGTTTTTCTCTTCCTGCTTTTCCATGTAAAGAGACCATTAATTTCCATATATCAACATCAATATATATATTTTTTTCTTATGGCAAATGGTTGCCACTTGTGCCTTCAGCAAAAGTAGGCGTATTAAGGCCATTGAAGGTTAGAAAAACTATTTCAAGAAACAAACTAGAATACTCTCTGAGATTAAAGTGGTAAATTTATGATAACAAAACTATTAAAATTCTCTGAGATCATAAAGTCACACATTTACAAGAAAAAAGGATGTGTTTGTGTTATTAAAGGTTCTGCAGCCTACTCGATTAAAAGAAGGGTATGCCATTATTGATAATAGCAGCCATCACATAACCTATTCACCAACCAGTATTATGAGATATTGCTTCTGTTCAAAGACCAAAAACTGGGGAATTGGGGAAAAACTGCATACATTTATAACTAAATTCATGCTTTCAATTGGCTCATACACAATTTGAGTTTCTTGCTTATAAATTTACCACTTTATATTCAGAAAATATCAGATTATTTTGACTGTAGATCAAAAACTTTAATTTCTGAATATTTTTCATTACTTTTCTAAATTTCTTATGAATTCGAATGAGTTTTCAACTGTTTACCATTTTCAAAAGACAGCTTAAGAGGGAATTTAGGTGACACTGCAAATTCAAACATGAGAACCAATCAAAAGCATCAGAACAGCATCAAACTTTACAAAACTGCCATGACTGGAAATGGCAAAAGGAAGACAAAAGTACACATTAATGTGCACTTGCAAAGCAACAAAATTAATATTATTCAACATATCTTTTTACAGAAAATATTCAGATATAATCATGAACATTTATATAATCAATTTATTAACATATTTTTCCAAGTAACTATAACAGAGTTACAGTTACACTTATTTGGTAATTAAATTAAGTACCTAACTAAACCACATGTTACTAGTTACTCCCCAACACTGTATTGTTTTCTCACCATATAAGGAATATACTTTGTTTTCCAACTGTGGCAACTCTACTCTGCAATTTAAACAAGTTTACATTCTACATTTGTTCCCTGTTTTTCTTCATTGTATTTGTCTTGTAACATGTTCGATAATAGCACCTTTAATTTGAAAGGTAAAACCGGAACATCTTTATCCTAGCTAAGCATTAGCGAGGAGTCCGTCTTATCCGTTTCCTCCTGACTCGGCTGCTTTTCGCTGAGCAACATCGGCCAAATCAAGCGCGTACCGTAACTACATGCCAGATGATGCACTGAGGGTGGTTTATAATAACGACCACCCGCTATGCAGTGCTGGTGCTCCGTGCACGGCTTGTAGGTATCCGTTTGGTAGAACAGGCTGAGTCTAGATATCAGGAAGCTGAAGAAAAGAGAACTGTGAGAGCAGACAGACAGGAGGCCACGGTTCCCCCTCACACACATACATACATCACCACGGCCTTGATGGTGATGTATGCAAGGAAACCAACAAGAGTCAGCGATGGGTAAATCAAGCACTAACCTGAACATTTTAAAAACTATTCGGAGGGTTTATCTAGTGTTTTGATTTGTAGGTAGGTTGTTTGATGTTTGCGTGTATCCGTTAGCCATCAGTGCTACCAGCTAACTGTTAGCGTTAACAGTTTGCCAGCAATTAGCTATGGGGGATATTTCCTGTAAGTCGGCTAACGTTAATCGACTAACATAACGTTGGCTAAATAACAAGTTATGGCAAACACTGCTTATATAAGGCAGATTATGTACAATATATTTTAAATATCGGTTATTTTCTACTAGTAACATAATGTGCAAAACAGCTGTTGCTAAGGTGGCAAATCAAGCTAACTTAGCTAACAGCAGCTAATAAGCCAGATCTGTAAAAAGTGTGTTGCCAAGGTAAGAAACTAACCTAACCGTTAAAAGTGCTAACTGTCCTACAATAATGTTTGTTCTGTGTGTCTTCACAGGTGCAACGACAGAAGGGATTCACAATCCTATCAGGTACGGGCACCTGTCATTACTCTCCACTAACGTCGCTAATCGAGGTGTAGTATTTTTCCAAATGATTCACTGAAATCTGTATGTTACTATGTTGGAGATACAGCAACCATACTCAAACTTACATTTTTAAATCTATGGTGTGAGTCAGTTCTCACTAATTTACCTCCAGTTTAACTCCCAATAATATTGACACATAATAATAATAATAATAATAATAATAGGCACCAAAAAAATACTGATAATACTGTGGAATAATATAAACTATCTTAATTTCATTAATCTACAGGGCTATTACAAAACCTTCCATTGGAAGTATGGCTATGGCCAGTTTGGATACTGCTCTTGTAAAGTTTGGTACATTTGGTCTTAAAGTCATGTTGTGTTGATTTGTCAATGTGGAACAAATTTGTACACCAGTGTAGTACTCTTAAACATAACAAACACTGATACTGGGTTCATGCTACATTCAACAAATGCTGTAAAACAGAGACACTCAAATTCAAGACACTCAGTTCACAGGTGATATTTTATTCAAAGAAAATAAGGACTAAATTAGCCAGCCACCGTTTCTTGAGTTTGTAGAAAATCAACTCCATCTGTCTAATGGTATACTTCAACTCTTCAGTTTAGAAGACATCTTGGTCCTAAAAACAAAAAAATGGCCTCATAAAAACTGAATTTTATTTTTCACAAATAGTTTCCGCAACCCCTTGCCTATAAAGAAGCTAATTTTATGATGCAGTCAGTGTAGTCCTTGTAGATTTGTTTCTTTTGTAAGTGATGTTCTATAAACTAATTTGGTTGAATCAAACATCTTGTGCTCCACGAGTCAAAAAATTTATTTTTGAGGATATCAATTCTGTTTTCACTGTGCCATTCGTCTCAATGGTCTTCCTGCTTAATGCACTATACACTATTGATTTCCAGAAAAGTTAATGATGGTATCAGCTGCATGAAGAAAATGACATCAGTATAAGCTTGAGTACACATCTCAACAAGTCTTCCTGCCATGTTTTATTCAATCTAGACCCATAAATCTCAGCCAAAGAGCCAGTCCAGCAGCCTACACCGTTACGACAAGGTGCGTGATGGCTCATCAGACCCCACACCCCCTTACAAGATGCTGCGGCGCTCAGACGAAAGTCCTGTCAGCAGACATGGAGACAGCACAGGACATGGCAAGCCAAAAGCCTCTCACGCAGTTAGAGGAAAAAATGGTAAGCCCGGCTCTGGTGGCCTGCAATACCGTCAGTTGCACAGAAAACATCAGATGACTGTCGCTACAGGCAGGTCTAATGGCTCTCAGCCACAGCTTACTGCGATCAGTTTTTGTTAACAGGCCAACAAATATAGTCTTATAATATCACTGTCTTCAAGCTTAAATTTTGCGTTGTTTTTGTGTAGATCTGACATGCTCTTTTTTTTTTTTTTCATAGTCATGTTTTGAGGATTCATGGCTGCAGACTAGAGTCTGATGAAAGGCAAAACACCATCCTAGAAACTGTCATGGAGAACCAAATTAAGCTTAAAATTATTTTGTCATCTCACTGTCATCAGATCACAAAATGGGTATTACAGATAAATAAAAAATAATGCAGACCTCAAACAAAGCGTTTCTTATTTAGTAGCAGCCCTCAGTGAAGATTCAGTCCCTCTGCAGGACATTGTTTTATTTTCTCTTACTTGATAAATGACTTTGTTGCAGG